CTGATTACCAAGGGGAAATTGGGTTGGCTTTACATAATGGAGGTAAAGAAGAATACGTCTGGAATACAGGAGATTCTTTAGGACATCTTTTAGTACTACCATGCCCTGTGATTAAAGTCAATGGAAAATTACAGCAACCCAATTCTGATTTGACTGCTAACGACCCAGACCCTTCAGGAATGAAGGTTTGGGTCACCCCACCAAGCAAAGAACCACAACCAATTAAGATGCTTGCTGAGGGCAAGGGAAATACAGAATGGGTGGTGGAAGAAGGTAGTTCTGAATATCAGCTATGACCACGTGACCAGGGGCAGAAACGAGGACTGTGACTGTTATACTTCTTCACTGTATATGTGCATCAAATATTTTTGCTTCCTTCTGTTATGAGCTGTGAAATGTAAATAAGGTTAATACATTTTGATTGTATGTGTGTTAACGTATCATGTTAGGCACAAATGACTCTGTAATTGTCCTTATTTAGAGATTATATATAGTTAAGAAAATGTATACAACTGCCAAGTTGACAAGGGGTGGACTGTGATAGTTGGAGCTGTGTGTCAACTTGGCTGGACCCCAGTTCTGTGTGGTTGTTCCCATGATGGGATCCGATGACTGTGTTCTGAGTGGCCAATCTGCCCAAGGGGAGTTTCCCCAGGGGTGTGGCCTGCTTCCAGGATATCCAGGGACATCCTGGGAGGAGAGACATTCTTTGAGGGATTGGAACCCTGGTGTGCGGACTACAAACTTCCATGAGTGAGCAGCCCACTGCTCGGCCTGGAGATCTTGAATTCATCTTTTGTTGGAGTCAACAACCAGTGTACTGCCTGCCAGCCTTGAATTTCTCGGCCCCCCTGCACTTGTGGAAGCTAAGGCTGCCGCCAGCCCGTTTTCTCCAGGGACTTTGGACTTGCTGGCTTCTGTATGTTTGTGAGCCATTTTCCTAAGATAAATCTCTCTCTCTCTATGCCTATATATATACGCTTTACTGGTTTTTGTGTTTCTCTAGAGAACCCAATCTAACACAGTCTCCTAACTAATCTTTCCTCTTCCTCAAAATTCATCAGTGATCTTTCAAAACATAAAATCTGAAATCATGTACCAAACCAAACCACTGCCACTAAGCTGATGTCAACTCATATCTATAAGATAGAGCAGAAGTGCCCCCACAGGTTTTCCAAGGCTGTAAATCTTTATGGTAGCAGACTGCCACTTGTCTCCCATGAGAAATTATGTACAATTGTGTAAAACCTTCAAAGGCTCTCTTAAAGGCTTTACTTTCTCAAGAATCTGGCCCTTGCACATCTCTCCAATGTCTGTGCCCAGTCACATCTTACACCCCTGACCTGAGGAATCCTTTGGCAGTATAAATGGTTAATGTGGTTGGCTGCTCCCCGAAAGGTTGGAGGGTTGAGTCCAACCAGTGGTGCCTTGGAAGATAGGCCTGGCAATCAACAAATCAGCCACTGAGAAACCTATAGAGTACAATTCTATTCTAATATACACACAGGTCATCATCAGTTGGAACTGATTGCATGGCAACTGGTTTATCCCTGAACCTTAAGCAACAGTGAGGTCAAACTTCTAGCCATTCTTTGAACAAAGCTGCTGCTTCACACAGTGGGTTGGGCTCTCTACCTGCCTGGTTGTCACGTCCTATACAATTTCACCTGCCCTTCCAACATCTACATATCTTTTAAGATTCAGGCTTAGAGTGGTAGCTTCTCTGAAGCCTTCCCTGACTGCCTCCAGTCTTTTTCAGATAGAAATGAATACTAACTCCATCCCGATTGTATGCTATGACTTCTTTCACAACACCTAAAACAAAATATCATATAATCTGTCTTATTCATCACTGTACTTTTAATAGCCAGTATGATGCCCAAGAATGGAGTCCTTGTCTGATATAAAAGACTAATGTACTCAACCACTAACCAAAAGGTATAAACAGCTTCACTAAGCAAATGAAAACTCTATGAAGGATGGTTCTACACTTATACACATGAGGTCACCATGAGTTAGAATCAACTCAACGGCAACTGGGCTTTTTTGGGGGGTGGGGGGGTGGGCGGGCAGGCTGAAAGTAGCTGATGTTCAATAAAAGCATTTTAAATGAATAATTGAGTGATTTGCTAATCAATGTAATAACATCAATAACAATGATATTAACAGTAGAATATTAATAATGGTCTATAATGTCTGTGCTAGGTACTATTTAAAGTGCTTAGAAGACAAATAGGAAAAAAAATAAAAATAAGGGAGATCAGTGACAATAGTAAATTACATGAACACAAAAATTCCTCTAACGTGTTGATAAGAGCTTAAGAAATATAATTCAAACTGCCTAAGTATTAGTAGGTAGCTCTGGAGTCTGCCTTTAACAATGGTTATCAGGAAACATTTTCTGGAAAATGTTGGTACTATCTATCATAATGCCAACCAATCTTTTTTCTGTGACAGACTGAGTTTCTTGAACTTGACATAATGCAGTAATAATCTAAAGTGCTTTTGGAGTTAAATTTTAAAACTATGGTGCAACCAGATCTTTTCATAGGAGGCTTGGTGTAAACAGTAGTTCAAGTGCTCAAGGTTGTCAGTTCAAATTCAATAGCTGCTCCAAGGGAGAAAGATAAGGCAGTCTGCTTCCATAAAGATTTATGACTTTGGAAACTTAATGGGGCAATTCTACTCTGTGCTATAGGGTTGCTATGAGTTGGAACTGACTGAGTGGCAATGGGTTTGGGGACCTTCACATACTGTTTTAGGATATCTGCCTTTGGGTTAATGACAACTCACGTAGGAGCTTAGTAGGGTCTTCAAAAACACTTCCATTGTTTGTATCTATTCAGCAATGACAAAAATGTACATGTACTCCGCAGTAGAAAACTTACCAGCCACAAACTCTGTTCCTGCAAGTTCTGCAGTTGCAAGGAAGTCATCGAGGGAGCTTTGTTCAGTCACTGAGTGAAGATTAAGACGACCCCAATCATAGCCATCATTGAGTTCACTTGTGTGCAACTATGAATAAAACACAGGTAGTGAATACAGCTGTTCTCTTTTGCTCTTGATATCCAACAAGCTACAAACTTCCCATGTCACTATTAAATGATCACGGGTGATGTCAGCCTTTTAGAGGCAATACTAGTAACAGTAAACATTTAAATGAGCATTTGCTTACGTCATGCTAGGTAAGCAAGTTCATTATCTTGTTATTTCATTATTTCATTTAATTTTCAAAATCTTTTGAAATGAGTTTTATTATATCCCTTTTTTACTAATGAGGAAATTGAGGCTTAAACAAAGCAACTTGTCTTTAATCACAAACTAATAAGTGGTAAAGTTAGAACTTGAATCCAGACTCCTGGGCTCCCAACTGGCAGCGTTAATTAAATATAGAGACCCACAGTAAGCAATACTGTTTACAAAGCGAACCAACTGTGTGTGATACACGTGATGATACAGATGCTAGTGTACCATTTGTAGAGTAAAATGGGGGAGGGGGTGGGAATCCTGAAATAAAACTTACCTCATAATATGTAATATAGTTTTTTTTTAAAATCCTACTGCGTTAAAAAACATTAGTTGCTATCTACTGAATTGATTTTCCAGCTACAACCCACAGTTTGATAAGCACCATCCTAACCTATGTGCTCTGGTGGCATAGTGCCTAAGGTATTTGACTGCTAACCAGAAGGCTGGCGGTTCAAACCCACTAGCCACTCCTTGGAAGGAAGGTTGGGCAATCTACTTTCATAGTGATATTGCCTCGGAAACCCAAGGAGAGGGGTTGCTATGAGTAGGATCTAACTCGACAGAAGTGAGGTTTTTTAAATTTTATTTTTAACCTATGTGCTTACTACAGGTATAAACAGCCTCACTAAGCAAATGAAAATATTGTGCGTCAAAAGATTAATGAACCACAGAATCAGTAAAAAGGAGGAAAAGGAATGGAACGCATATTCAGTCTTCCTACTACTTCCTAAAAGCTACAGTAATAACCGGTTGCTTCAAAATCACTTAAAACGACCAACAATCTACCACAGTAACTCTGATCTGATGAATATTGATGAACCCTGTATGCCACTTACTCTGCAGATTGCATAGATGGAAGCCAGATGGTATTAGCAGTACATGTATAGTCATATACATACAGGTACAGTTAAACAAAAAAAAAACCCAAACCCCACTGCCATTGACTTGATTCGGACTCACAATGACCCTACGTGACATAGCAGAAGAGCCCTATAGGGTCTCCAAGGCTGTAAATCCTTAGAGAAGCACGTTGCCTCATCCTTCTCCCACAAAGCTGCTGATGGGTTCTAACTGCTAACCTTCTGGTTAGTAACTAAAGGCTTTAAGGACTGTGCCACCAGAGCTTATTCATGTATAGTTAGCACCAGCAATACCTTTGGTGCTAACTATATTTGGTGAGTTTTCAAATACCTAAGGAAAAATAACAATTAGAATGATAAATCCATTTTTCAAGGATCCTACAACTACGATCTTCCCTAGGTCGTGCGTGGTTAAATGGATCGGTCCTGCCACATTTCTACCTATGGTTTATCTTTGACCTAAACCATTAGGAGAATAAAGGTGAAGCAGGGAATCTAAGGCATTTTGTATTTGATACCAACCAGATGCTGTTGGAACGTCAATACTTTATGCAAATTAATACGAAAGAAACCACTTTTGTCTCCTTGCTATCAGACACTTCCAGGAGAGGAAAAAGCATTCCTTGGCAATCAATACTCTTCAAAATCTCACCCCGGCTTTATCATCACACCAGCCCTTTCACGCCTCTAACTTTGTGCTCTGGGCGCACCTCTTCTGTATGGGAGAAATTTCTCCTGATCCTTCGACACCCGGCTCGGTGTCATTTCCTTTGGAAAATTTCCCAGGGACCTTTGATCCCAACCTTCGCAGCCCTCAGGCTCTCATAACTAAGTAAAAAGGATTAGAATCAAGCCAACGTCTGTCTTACCCAAGTGTCGGTGTGACGATGGCTACGGCTCCGCTGAGTCTGATGGCGGATAAGGGCCCGGCCCAGTGACCCACTACTCAGCGCTTTCCTCCTGCCCATAACCACAGCCTGTTACAAACGTTCTGCGAGGAGCGCGTGCCTTTTCCGGCATCCAGCTTTCGATTCCAGGAAGTGACGTAAAGGTCACGTATTAAGGCCCAAAGTGGAGCGAGGAAAACGAAATAACTTGCTCCGAATTACACTTTGTGTATTTAAAGTTTTACTATATTATATAATATAAATGTAAGAACTATTCTAGGAGCTTAGTTTACTATAAATGTCGTACAAATGTCTCAAATTTGGATACAGCGTGAGTCAGAATAATGGTACCGTCCAGATTTGTGCACTGATTTTTAGCTTCCGGAGAGGAACTGAAACAACTAGAATAAAATGGCCGTTTAATTTCACTGTACTAACTACGCCTCCCGCCTGTTTTCGCCAGGAGGAGGTGGAGACTCCGGCGAAGGATGTTTTTGTTACGCGAGGTTGGGAGGACTTCCTGGCGTTAGGTTTTGGCCGGAGCAGTAAGGTGTGGTCATACCGCGGTGAAGACTAGCAACTAAATAGCCTTTTGTTTACCAAGTTTACCAGCTGCGAGTTGAGGAAAAAAGCTTGGAATTAGGAGAATAAATATTTCCAGAACTTGGAAAGGTTGCAAGGAAAGCCAACAAGATCTGACTTGTGCTTTGTTTCTAATAAAAAAAAAATGCTTTGATGGTTCTAGTTAAATGTGTATTAATATTTTCATATAACGAAACTAAAATGACAACGGCCAATTCCACTCTTAGCAGCCCGGGCTTTTGCGCCTCATTTTAGATTTCCCCTATAACGGGACTATAAAAGTCGGTTTAGAGTTTGCACATGCTGGGCATTTTGTCTACATTTTCTTTAATCCGGAGAACCATCTCATTGTTTGGATGCTCAGAGAGATGAAGCTCAGAGAGATCAAGTAAGTCACGCGTAGATCCAATACTTAAGTGCTAGGATTAAAAAACCCAAGACTCGTCACTATCTTGTACATCCTTGGGGGAGGGGAGGGGAGGAAGAGGGGGTGCAGGTTGTTGGTGTATATTAGAAATCATAGGGATCAAAAAGCTATCCAACCTAGTGCTCCTCAGACTTTAATGTGCACCTGAATTCTTCCAGGATCTCATTAACTTGTAGATTCTGAATCAGAAGTTCTCGGATGGGGCCTGGGACTCATATTTCTAACAAGTTTCCAGGTGATGTCTACACTAATGGTGTAGTTTGAGTAGCAAGAGTACTAATCCACTTCTATCTGGTATAAATGAAGACACTGAAGTAGATCCTGGTGAAAGGTCAGTCACAGCAAGTTGTGGGCAGGCAGAACTGAGAGCATACCACTCACCTGTCTGCCAAGCCTCTGTGTGCTACACTTTACTGCTGACTCATCCTGAATTGGATTGAGTTTTGGCAATCATCCAAGGGATTACTGACAAGCCATGTAGTAGTTGGCGAAGTTTGGGAAGACAGTGCTTCTTGAGAAGAAGCTTTTGGGAATGCATCAGATGGTTTTCCCAATTTAGAAACAGTATATCTTAAGAAAAATGTTAAACAAAAAACTGAACATAATTCCCAGAAGTGAGATTTGGAGAAGACCTATGGAATAGAATTAGCTAATAGCTCTTGGCATTCTTTCCAGAGCTGAGTGATTAAATTAAACAAAAAAAAAAAATTAACTCAAAGTAAGATTAAAAAGATTCTTCATCATCATCATAGATTATGTAAGAGAAACCTGCCATCTCATTCCTAGAGCTCAGCCAGAACTTGGAACTCCACAGTAGTTTCTTTTTCCAGATTCTGTCACCTCGAGAGATTTAGAGAAAACAAAAAAATTGGATTGCTATTGTCAGTCTTCTAAGGGCTCCAAAAAATCTTGACTGAATGAATCAAACTGATAATTTAATCAAGACTGGTGGGGAGAAGAAGCCACTCTGATGGTATTGTGCGTAAGATATTTGGCTGCTAAACCAGAAGGTTAGCAGTTCAAACCTACCAGCTACTCTGTGGGAGTAAAGATTTACAGCCTTGGAAACCCAATGGGGGATGTTATGAGTTGGAATTGACTTGATGGTAGTGGTTTTGGGTTTTGGTTTGGTGGGAGATAGAGACTTATTAACAACATAAGATTATAATAGCAGAAGCTATTCTTAGCTGACTGGTAAGTAAAACCAATTCCACTGCCATTTAGTCAATTCTAACTCAGCATTTGGCTCATAGCAACCCCCATTGGGTTTCCAAAGCTGTAAATCTTTACAGATGCAGACCACCTCATCTTTATTCCATGGAGTGGCTGGTGGGCTTAAACCACTGACCTTGTGGTTAGCAACCAAATGCCTTAACCACTACACCACCAGAGCTCCTTAAGTAAAGTGTTGATTATTCTAATACCCTCACCCCCACCAAAGTGTTACTCAAATCTATCAGTGATAAAGAATTAACTGAGCCTCAATTTTATTATCTGGTTAATGGGGATAAAAATGATTACTGTTCTGCAGATATAATGAGCGAGATAATGCTATAAGATGATTGCTTGGTAGTTTGTGGGGGACCAATTTGCACAATTGAACAAATGTTTTCCCAACAACTGGTCAATGCAGGTAAGAAGCCAGCTGCAGTATTGATCCATGTTGGGCGGTGATGAGGCTAGTTCAGTTAGAAGGGCATGTTGTCATTGTTGAGTGCCCTCAAGATGATTCCAACTCCTAGTGACCCTATATGATAGAGTAGAACTACCCCATAATGTTTTCTAGATTGTAGTCTTTATGGGAGCAGATTGTCAGGAGTCACTGTGTGAGTTTGAATCTTGAACCTTTTGGTTAGCAGCTGAGAGCTCTTAACTATTGCAACACCAGGGCTCCTTGAGAAGGGCATGAAGGTGCTAATGAGATAAGATCATGGAATCCAGATCCAAGGGAAAGAAGACAGAGGGGGCATAATGGTGGTGAGAGTGAAGGGTGGAGCAAGATGCTGGCTGCTGCCCAAGTGAGAGGGTTGCACAGATGAATCAGCCCAGGTCCCTGCCCTCAAACTGAACAAGCCACAGGCTTCAGGGAACAGCACAACCCATCCAAACTCCCCACGTAGCTTTGTCACATCAGTGGAAATGCTTATCCACCAGGCTGTGTCTGGAAAAGTGATCAGATCCTTTCAGTCTTCCACATAGCTGAGTGCTCTGTTGAAGCCAGGATTCTCTGAACAGCTGGCCCAGAGAGAAGGCTGCATTGATTCTAGGATTGGAAACCTCCTATCTAGCTTCCAAATAGCACACAGGGTGTGTTCCTCATTGATGTAATTGCACAATCCTTGATTTACTAACGTGGCTAAACAAATGTAGTTACAAGCCCTGAAACTCACACCCAGGAACAAACTTGGGAGTTACTTTCCCCTTCTCCAACTATATGCTGTTGTAGCTCTGGGTAGCTCCACATCTGTCTGGAGAGGGAGAGGGAAGAGTGGGTGGGATTCTACTTTGTTTTTCCTTTCTTTCCTAGACCAAAAATGTGTCAGTAACAGAAAAACTATTCCAAGGCAAGCTTGCAGCCTGACCTTGCCTCTTTCTCACTCTCCATACCAACCTCTTCCATAAGGATATTCAAGCAGTTTGCATAAGGCTGAGAGTTGTGAAAGTAAGTCTAGCAGTCTCTATAGAGTGTCATTGAATCAGTAAAGAAGATCCTCCAATTATCTGGCACTCTCAGCTCATCCTTGTTGAAAAATGGGCAGTCTCACACGTGAGTGAATTTTAAAGAAATGATTAGTTTAATTTGAGTCAATCCAACATTGACTGCCTGCTTGTGCAAGGCATTATGCATACAAGGAAAAGTATAAAGGACCTCTTGCTGTGGTAACAGACAGGAGACTTGACTCCATGTACCCTGTGTTTGAACTCATGCATTTCCCTCCCAACTCTTGTAGTTATATGTGGAATATCTAGAGTCTTTTATTTACAGATGATTTGCAGTTATTTTATTTTTCTCATCAATCGAGAAAGGGTATTCCATTTTTCTACACTTTTAGATGTAGAAATTGAGACTCAATAAAGTTAAGCAAAGTAAAGGAGGCTAGAAGTACAATAAATAACCATTAGCTCTATAATTCACAGATAGAAATACCAAGTTTCTCTCATTCATTCATTCAACATTAGGCTTCAGGGACTCAGCACTAGACAAATTCCTGCCCTCACAAGCTTGAATTATACCACCAGGTACCTCCTATTCCACCAAGTGGGTTTTATGACCACTGGAATTTTACTTTCTGCCTTTAAATGTGACCCCTTCCTTTAAAATCACTCTAATAAAGACATTAATAAGTTTTATAATGTCAATCTGGACAGTGAGGGAATGCAAAATTATGCTGCATGAGGAAAAATGAAGGAAATACGATATTTATTTTGAGGAGAGAAGATTCCAAGAGTATAGGAGGGCTATGTCCATATATGTGAAGGACTGTCATTGGGAAGAGGGCGAAGATTGTTCTGAGTAGACATAAGGCAAGTAGGTCTAGAACAAAAGGGTAGAATTGCAGAGTCACAATTTTAGGTTCAATTTGTGTGGCCTTTCTTATGGACAGAGTGGTTCAAAGATGCCATGGACAGATTTGGACAATAGTGAGCTTCCTGGCACCAGAAGGGTTCAAGCAGAGCCTAGGTAAACTATTGGTTCTCCAGTGCAGCTCTAACAGAAATACCACAGGTGGATGGTTTTACCAAACAGGAGTTTATTCTTTTACAATTTAGGAGTCTAGAAGTCTGAGTTCAAAGTGCCAGCTCTAGGGGCTGGGTGAAAGCCCCTTGACCTGGGGCTTCAGCTCTTGCTCTTTCTCCCAGCCCACTGAAGCTGGAAGCATCTGCTAACTCAGGCAGCTGCTGGCTGCTGAAGCTGACAAACCCAAGGTATACAAATAAAATGACACAGTCCCAAGATTACCAAACAACATGGCAGGTCACTAGTTCAAGTCCAGAGACAGTCACGAGATCAGCAGGAAACATGGTAGGCTACTGACTGAAGACTCAGATACATGAAGGGTTCAAGTGTGCC